CCCCAAAACCCCAAAACCCCAAAACCCCTAAATTCCCACTTTTATTGAAGAAACACTCAATATTAATTTTAAACTTCAAACATGAGTAGTATTCTTGAAGAAAGCTTAGTGTACCAGTCCAAAGACCGTATTAAAGAGCATTTTGAATCATTCTCAATAGAAGAAAACCAAGAGTCTAAAGAAGAGAAGAAAAACACTCTTTTTGGAATTCTCCTCATGGTCATTTCAGGAGTCGCCATTGGAGCCATGAGCTTCTGCATCAAACTTACTTACCAACATTGAGAGGGAATTAAAGCGTTTGATATCTTTTTGATTAGGTCCCTAATGCTTGCACCGTTTTGATACTTCCATGCTAAGATACTCAAAGTCAACCTCATTGAAATTAGCAACAAAAGTGCATCTCTTTTGGTTCTAAGGTGAATATTCGGGTTCTGAGGGAACATCGCCTTGTTCGTGAGCATCAACTATGTGCCTGTGAGTGTGTCTCTAATGATTTTTAACGTGAATCCGGTTTTCGTTACAATCCTAGCATACTTCTTCCTAAAGGAACAACTCACAGTCACCAAGTGATTCTGATGTGTGGGAGCATTTGTTGGGATTGTCATTTTAGGTCTTGGAAGAACCTCACATGACTCTGGTAAAGATATACAAGGAAAAGGTATCATAATGTGAGTAATGTCTGCTATTTTTGGAAGCCTTGCATATACTACTTTAAGAAAGATCAACACTGAGATTCATTACTTGTATTCTCCATATTATCTGTCTATATTTGGCTGTGTTTTATGTACCCTTCTGTATTTATTTTTCGACGGCCTAATTAATCCTTCATTGTACACAGCAAAAGCTATGATATTCTGCATAATCTGTGGAGGGTTTTCAATTGTGTTCCAAGTGCTCATAAGCATGGCCTACAGACATTGAAATGCTTCGACTGCATCTCCAATCACATACATGAACGTAATCTTCAATTTGTTCACAGATACACTCTACTTCCACTACGAGTTCTACTGGACTGACCTGATTGGAGGGATTCTCACTACAGGCTGAGTGGTATTTCCTGTGCTGATGCTTATTATCAAGCAATCACAAACCAAAAACTAAATTTAAAGCCAATCTCAATCTTTGGATATTTCTTGGGGTTTTGGGGTTTTGGGGTTTTGGGGTTTTGGGGTTTTGGGGTTTTGGGG